AACTTTACACCTTCAGAACTAGAAAAAGAACAAATTAAGCCTAAAGTTAGAAGGAAGGAAATAAGAACAGAGTGGGAACAAAATAAATAGATACCAGGAAAAAGCAAATCTTTGGCTAGACCATGAAAAAAAAAAAGACATAAATAAAATCAGAAATGAAAAAGGAGACATTACAACTGATACTACAGAAATGCAAAGGATCATAAGAGACTGAATAGTGAGAAGCTAACAAATTGGATAACTTATATGAAATGGATAAATTCCTAATGAACAACATAAACTGATGAGCAAAAATAGAACCAGAGTCATTGAAGCATTGAACAGGCTGTCCGCCTATGAGGGAAGGCGAGGGGTGAGGGGGTAAGAGATCAACTAAAGGACTTGTATGCATGCATAAGAGCATAACCAATGGACACAGACTGGGTTTGGGGCAGCTGGGGAGAGGTCAATGGGGGAAAAAGGAGACTTACGTAATACTTTAAACAATAAAGAATTAAATAAAATATACCAACATGCCAAGACCTAATCAGGAAAAAATAGAAAATCTGAACAGAATAAGAAGATTCAAATTGATATTCACAACCCTAGGACCAGGTACTCCACTGGTGAATGCTACTAAATATTTAAAGAAGAATTAACATCAATCCTTTTCAAACTCTCCCAAAAAAACTGAAGAAAAGGGAACACGTCAAAACTCATTATATGAGGCCAGCATTACCCTGATACCAAAGCCAGGTATACAAAAGCAAATTCAACTAGTAGGACTACATTAAAATGAAAGCTTCTATGAGCAAAAGAAACAATAAAATAATGAAAAGGCAATGTACAGAATGGGAGAAAATATTTGCAAACTATATAGTGGTGAAGGGGTTAATATTCAAAATATATAATGAACGCATATATCTCACTAATAAATAATCCAATAAAAAATAGAGGAATTAAATATTTTCCCAAAGAAGATATACAGATGCCCAACAGGTACATGAAGCAATGCTTAACATTACTAATCACCTGGGAAATGCAAGTCAAAACCACAATGTAGTATCACCTTATACCTGTTCGAATGGCTGCCATCAAGATAAGAAATAAGTGTTGGTAAGGATGTGGAGAAATAGAATCCTTGTGCACTGTTGGTGGGAATGTAAATTGGTTCAGCCATTATGGAAAATAGAGATTCCTAATAATATTAAAAATTGATAGAAGCACTATATGATCCAGCAACTCCACTCTTGGGTCTGTTTCCAAAGGAAATGAACACAGGCTATTGAAGAGATATCTGCACTACCATGTTCATTACATTATTCACAGTAGCCAAGACATAGAAACAATCTAAGTGTCCATCAGTAGAATACTATTCAGCCAAGAGAAAGAACATTTGCAAAAACATGGATGGACTGGAAGGTTATTATGGTAAGTGAGAGAAGTCAGACAGAAAAAGACAAGTATCACTTATATGTGGAACCAAAAAAGCCAAACTCATAAGAACAGCAGAATGGTAGTTACCGGGGGTTAGGTGGGTGGGGAGCTGTTGAAGTTATAACCTTGCAAACAAGTCCTAGGTTTACAGACAACAGTACTATATTATCAACTTTAGAGATGCTAAGAGACCTTGTTCCCACCACCAAAAAGAAAAGATAATTATGTGACATGATAGAGATGCTACAGTGGTAATCATTGCAATAATTGTATCAAAGCAAGACGTTGTACACCTTGAATGTATATGCTTTATATGTCAATTATATTTGGTAAAGGAAGTTACCATCAGAAAAATATCTAGAAAACTAGTTTTCAAACATTCGCCAAAAGACATTTCATAGCCCAAAGCTCAACAGGTGAGCTATGCTACTGTGTCAGTGAAATTTGAGGCTTTTACAAGCCTGTGGGAAGCTTAGCAGGAGGCTTGGGAGCTCTGGGATAGCACAATCACCATCGAGAAGGGGGGAATCTTCTGTTGATGCCCCATTTAAAAAGGCTGCCCTCCGCTGCCAAGGATCAGTCTGCATGGGCAGGGGCCATCCGGACTCAACAGGGCTGGGCTGTGAGCTCTGCCTGCAAATTCTATGGACGGGGAACCCTAGTGAGTGTGGCCAAAGCCATGGCTGCAGGCCAGAATGTACCTGTTTCCAGAGAGACTGCCTGAGGCAGTGGTTCTGGGTTGAGACAAGGGTGCTACTCAACATCTCATGAAAAACCAAGGGCAATTCCATCCATTAGCATCTACTTATCTGAGACGTCACATTTTAATTTCTTCTTTGCTGTTTTTATAATACATTCAAAAACCGATCACTGATATCTGGTCAGTGATGAATATTTAATCTTCAAAATATGTTGTTGGGATGCTGTGCTAAGCAAGATGGGTTCATTTCCCTTCTGATTTTTTTGTACTCAAATTTATTTAATTCCTACTCTGTGTAAGTTTCCTTGTATTACAAGCCTCGTTCTAGATTGCAGCTCCGCCTTCTTGTGAATAAGGTCTATTGTATGTGTGAAAAACACATTTCCCTTCTGACACAATGGAGAAGAAGAAAGTAGAGTTTCAAGATAAAGGGATAATTAGAACATGGCTGCACAAAGGAATTCTAATGAAAGGGTTGTGTTTGAAATGCATTGGCATGTTACTGTATATAGAAGTATGAACTTTTCCCAATTTTGTTTTCAATATTTCCTAGATCCTTCTTGCAGAAGCACACTACACCAAGCAGCATAAAAATCTAAACCAATTCATGTTCCTAAGTTACCAACTCTAATATCAGGTTTAATCAAGATTGAGCAGTTAAATCCTTATGTCAGTCTCAAACAGAAGAGGAACACACAGCAACCAGGGGAAGCCACACTGGCCAAGGGCAGCCTCTGCAGATCGAAGGCCCTGACACCAAGGTGACCTAGTTCACTCCTGTGATTCAGTGATGCCATTGAATGAATCCGTTGGCAGTCTATGGCCTGCAGGCCAAATCTGGCCCAAGGAACGTTTTTGTGCACTTTCAATTGGTTGAGGAAAAAAATCAAAAGAATATTTTGTGACGTGGAAATTGTATGAAATAGTTTTACTGGGACGCAGCCATGCTCATTCATTTTGCTATTGGCTGCGGTTTCTTTCAGACTACAAGGGCAGAGCCACGTTGTTGTGACAAAGATCACAGGACCCACAAAACCTACAGTACTTTCGACATGGCCTTTTAGGGAAAAACATCTGCTGGCTCCTGGATTGGAAGGCATGCCATGGATTTAATGAGGTTTTGGTTGTTTATTAAAATATATAAATCAAGTGTACGATGTCTCCTGATTTAAGTCTGTGAATCAGAACATACGGCACCAGCTAGATCTTGCTTTCCAAATATTATACATTTCTCTGAGCCTTTAGGAAATGCTTTCGGGAGAACCCTTGTATAGGGCTGGGCTAGATAAGGGGGTTGTCTAGCTTACAGGCTCTAGAATCTGTCATTCAAAGGGAGAGTTGCCATCACTTACGCCTCCCATTTCTGACCGGGCCCTCAGGAGCCATTTCCCTTTGATCCTATAGCCCCTGCAGATCATACCCATTACAGCTCACTCTCATTGTCAACAGTGAATTCCAAACACTGAACCTTCACTCCTAGGGAAAATATGGAGCTAGGTTTCCATGAGCTACTGATCATGACATTTTCATAAATCGATCTCTACTTAACCTTGTTTTATGTGTATTTCTGTTTAAAGACTCCTTACTTAATGTACACTGCTGACTCCTTAACATTGAACTCACATTCAACAGCACTATACCTCATGCCTGAACAAAGCTTACTGAACACTTAGTTTCTCCATGAAGCACATCACAGCCTCCTGCCCTTAAGAACACAAGGCAGTGTATGAACACTACATTTGGGGACAATTTTAAACAGCAATATCACTAACAAAAATGCAAGAAATGTGTTACCAAGTAGATCATGAAAAGCACACTTATCTACTGTATTAGCTGAAACAAGAAGGGAGAATGTCACCCTGCTTGACCTTCATGGGGAACATGACTCAATTTATTACTGTGCTCATGCCTGTGAAAGTGCTGAGAGTATTGATTTGGGGGGGTGCGGGTTACAGGTATTTTAAATGTTTTTGTTAGTCCTCACCTGACGATTTTTTTCCCATTGTTTTTTGGGAGAGAGAGACACATCAATTGGATTGGTAGCCTCCCGCATGTACAGGTGCCTGGGATCGAGCCTGCAAGTACGTGCCCTTGACTGGGAATTGAACCCGTGACCCTCCTGTGTGTGTGTTGCCACATGCTCTAACTCTTGAGCAACACCGGCCAGGGCTGGAGGATACAATGATCAACTGTGTGTGAAGCTTTCTACTCCTTTCAACCATGACCTTGATCAACTGGCATCTTCAATGTCAGTCATTTCATAGGATCTGCCCTAGTCCAAAATGGCACTGATAATAACGTTCCTCTTCTCTGTTGCTTAACGATGTCTGTGTCCCTTAAGAAATTCCTTCACTATTTCTTTTTGTATTAAATTAGACCTGAGGTTTAAGGCTCCTTTCGAGTGTGTGGATGAGTCTCCGGTTTCCTTTGATTGGACGCCCTGCTCCACTGAGGCTTCTGCCTTCCATCCCTGCAAGGTCCATGGCCACATCCGCATCGGCTGCCACAGGTGCTGCTCTCCCACCCCACTCGTCATGCCCTCTGAGCTACAGGACTTTACTTAGTGGAGCCCCTTGCTCAAAGTTTATGAAGGACCTCAAGATGGAGACAGCGGAACAGGAAGCTAAGAGACCCTTCTACCAGTACGTGTGGGATGCTAAAGTGACACCTTGCCTCACTGCCCAGGAGCTACCAGGTGCAGGGCTGGCTAAGCACAGATGCCTCTCACAGGTGCTGCGTCCTCTCCATTCCTGCCTTCTGCTCCCGCCTCCCTTAGGAACCAGGGAAAATGCACTTAATCACTCCCCGCCTTAATTCTTTTCTCCATGAAAGGGTAAAAAAAAGGAGTAAATATTATTATTCCTCTTTTATAGAGAAAGGAATTAAGATGAGGTGATGAAGTGTAAATAGTAATATTTACTCATCCTTACCACATGGAGATATTAGAAGGATTTAATGATGGGACTTAGGAAGAAAGGCACTAGGTAAACCCCAGGTATTATATGGTTATTTTATATTGTAAGAAGAGGGATTTAGGCAGCATAAGAGGGAGGAATTTATTGACACAGGTGTTAGACAATGAGATAGTTTTCCAAAATCTTCCCTAGATATATTTCAGATTAGAGAGAGATTCCTGTGTGTCAGCTTAGATTTAGATGTGATTTTCTATGAGCGAGCTTCCAGGACCCTCAGTGCTTCTTTCTACAGGGTACTTTTTCCCTCACAAAGCTCACCTTGTGGCACCATAAATCCCAAAGATTCAGGTGGGAATGGAATGCACAATTCCTTTATACCTCCCCAAACAAGGCCAGGTCCTACTTTCCCCCACCATTCTCATAGAAAGTTATTCTCTGACAGATTTGAGAAACTGGCTATGAACAATGAATGGCAATGTTCTGTAGAAGTGCAGTGTACGAAACATTCATTAATAATGAAGTCAAAGAAGTTACAAGAAAAATGCTCTTTTACACTCTCTTTAGATAAATTGGAATCAGGCAAAATTAAAAGAAATAAACTACTGACTTACAAGTTCAGAAGAGAAGACTTTGACACTAAAACATAAGTCAAGAAATGAGAGAAAACGTTTGCAAATCATATATTAGATAAGGAGTTAATATCCAGAACATATATGAAAACAAAAATAGGGGCCAAGAACTTGAGTAGACAATTCTCCAAAGATGACATACTCAGATGGCCAATAAACACACGTAAAGATACTGAACACCACAAATCATTAGGGAAATACAAACCAAACCACGTGATACCATCTTACTACCCACGAGGAGGGCCACCATCAAACAGTATTAACACTTGCAGTGCAAAAATACATCCACCCCTAGAAGCCCGACCACAGCTGCTGCTTTGAAACTGTTTTTTGGGGGGAAAAATAGATGCTCAGAGGGCTTATGATTCATTAAAGTTGCTGACCAAATACTCAACTGCCAACGTGTTCTTTCAGAGAATGCTGTTTTCACTGCCCGTGGCACAGCTCTGCCCCCACGTGTGTGCACCATGTAGGACAAATCTGAGATCTACCGATGTGTGTCCTGAAGGGTGGCCTAGTGTGCTGCTTTTTAAAGCAGCACTTAGATTTTCGACCACAGGGATCCTATTTGTGGTGCTCCTAGGAACAAACGCTCTTTTTCCGAAAGTGAGCAGGACTCACTCTACACACAGAGCCGGTCCTCGTGCAGCCCTTTGTTACCTGGAAGAGAATCCACAAATGCTGACTCACTGATTCCCTCTAATGAGAAGCCGGGGGCAGTCTCAGGTCTGTGTAAGCGCGAATGTTAGAAAGGCCCCTCTGGGCTTACAATGCATTTTTCAATGTTCTGTCTGGATTAGGAATATAAATAGAACTTTCAAGATGCTCCTGTTAGGCTACTTCTAAGAGCAAACATTTTTTATAATTTAAAATAAAGGTTTTAGAATTAAAATGATTCCCCAAAGAGTATTCTCTTCCCAGATAAATGGAGTAGGAAGGACTGGCTTTACCTGCCACCAGAAACAACCAAAACTCAGAAAAAATGCTTTTCAAGCTACGTATCAGTCAACAGAGGACGATAATCTCTAGGAGAAAATCTGGGATCAAAGCTTGGTGACACTGGCTTAGACAAGGATTCCTTATATACCACCAAAACATGGCTCATAAAAGAAAAAAATAATCAATTGGGCTTCATTCAGATGGAAAACTGCTCTTCCAATGACATTGCTAAAAGAATGAAAAGAGAAGCACAGACTGCAAATCACATATCTTACAAAGGAATTCTACCTAGACTATAGGAACTCAACATTCTAATTAAAAACAAGCAATTCTTTTTTTCAAATGAGCCAAAGGGCTGAACAGACACTACACCAAAGAAGACATAACGACGGTAAGTAAGCACATGACGAGATCATTTGTCACCAGGGAAATGCAAATTAAGACCACAGTGAGACACCACCGCACAGTTATTGCGATGGCTACAACTAGGAAGACTAATCGTACAGAGTGTTAGCAAGGATGTGGAGCCATACGAACTCACTTGTCAAGGGAATGTACGATTCATTGTACAACGACTCTGGAAAGGAGTTTGGCAGTCTCCTAAAAAATGGGAACACATTGGCTACGTGACCCAGGCACTCCACTACCAGCGATTCACCCAAGAAAAAGAGAGTGATGTCCATTTCAGGACTTGCACACACATGTTCAGTGCAGCTTTCTCTGTAATAGTTTCCAATCTTGGAACAAACCACACTCCCACCCTTAGGTGACTGGACTATCAAAATGTGGAATATCTGCGCCATGGGTGCTATGCAACAATGAGTGAGAACTAAATACTAACGTATGCAATAGGATGGATGAATCTCAAAATAATCATGTTAAGTGAAGGAAGCCAGGCAGAAAGGACTACATACTGCATGATTCCATGTGTATGAAAGTCTAGAATATATGAACGAGTTCACTATATAAACTCCAGAATATATAAATGAATTTACATTGCCAGAAAGCAAATAGGGAGCAGTAGGTAGGAAGAAAGGTTAAAAAGGTGCACAAGCAAAGTTTTGGGGTGATAGACATGTTTGTTGTCTTGGTGAATATATGGGTCAAACTTCTCATATGGTACACTTTAAATATGTTCACCTTATTGTGTATCAGTTATACCTTGATTAAAAAATAAAGGCCAATGATTGTTCCTGGGG